GTTATTTAGCTTCTTTTGTTTCAAAAGTATTCCTTATCAGTCAGTATACTACTATCTACAAGCTAAGCACGTACGAATTCGTGACTATTGACGACCCTCACAATAGGTGCTGTACACACAGGAGGATGGGTTACAATAGGTGCTGTATACACAGGAGGATGGGTTGCAATAGGTACTGTATACACAGGAAGATGGGTTGCAATAGGTGCTGTATACACAGGAGGATGGGTTGCAATAGGTGCTGTATACACAGGAAGATGGGTTGCAATAGGTACTGTATACACAGGAAGATGGGTTGCAATAGGTACTGTATACACAGGAAGATGGGTTACAATGGCCATCAGATTGTGGGAGTGAGAAGAGATTTCCCGCCAAAACCTCTGCGCATCGCCGCCTTAGTTTCCCATTTTCTATAATTCATCCACCAGGAAATTTCCCATTCTCATTTTACGTGTTAATGTAACTTGTAAATCACTCGCTCACCATTCTTCCCTCACCATTCCTCCCTCATTATCCCCTCACCATAAATGTAAAATTTAAAGAACGAATACACACCTACCACCACCCACACCCGCCCCTGGTCGTGGTGATCCACACCTACCACCACCCACACCCGCCCCTGGTCGTGGTGATCCACACCTACCACCACCCACACCCGCCCCTTGTTCGTGTTGACCCACACCTACCACCACCACACACCCCGCCCTGGTCGTGTTGACCCACACCTACCACCACACACACCCGCCCCTGGTCGTGTTGACCCACACCTACCACCACCACACACCCGCCCCTGGTCGTGGTGATCCACACCTACCCCCACTCACACCCGCCCCTGGTCGTGTTGACCCACACCTACCACCACCCACACCCCCCCCCTTGGTCGTGTTGACCCACACCTACCACCACCCACACCCGCCCCTGGTCGTGTTGACCCACACCTACCACCACCCACACCCGCCCCTGGTCGTGTTGACCCACACCTACCACCACACACCCCCCCCTGGTCGTGTTGATCCACACCTACCACCACCCACACCCGCCCCTGGTCGTGGTGACCCACACCTACCACCACCCACACCCGCCCCTGGTCGTGGTGATCCCACACCTACCACCACCCACACCCCCCCCTGGTCGTGGTGATCCACACCTACCACCACCCACACCCGCCCCTGGTCGTGGTGATCCACACCTACCACCACCCACACCCGCCCTGGTCGTGTTGACCCCACACCTACCACCACCCACACCCGCCCTGGTCGTGTTGACCCCACACCTACCACCACCCACACCCGCCCCCCTTGGTCGTGTTGACCCACACCTACCACCACCCACACCCGCCCCCCCCTGGTCGTGTTGACCCACACCTACCACCACACACACCCGCCCCCCCTTGGTCGTGGTGACCCACACCTACCACCACCCACACCCGCCCCTGGTCGTGTTGACCCACATCTACCACCACACACACCCCCCCCCCTGGTCGTGTTGACCCACACCTACCACCACACACCCCCCCCTGGTCGTGTTGACCCCACACCTACCACCACCCACACCCGCCCCTGGTCGTGGTGACCCCACACCTACCACCACCCACACCCGCCCTGGTCGTGTTGACCCCACACCTACCACCACCCACACCCGCCCTGGTCGTGGTAACCCACACCTACCACCACCCACACCTACCACGACCCACACCCCGCCCAGGTCGTGCTGAGAGGAGACCTGGTAGTCGTGGGCCACGACTCCCTCCACTAGCAATTTCCTTACAGTTATTATTTTCCGATTAAAATGATTATACTAATCATTATTTTATATCATTTTAGAATAGCTCTTGTGCCCTGGGGATTCTTCCAATCCTCAGGACATACGACACTTCAGGATTAGAGGCGATTGGTCACATTGGAGCTCAATGTTCAGCGCTTGAATATCCGACACTGGCGGGAAATGTCTTCAAAATGATTAGAGGCCAAGATAACGGCCAATGATTAGATGTGGATCAAGATAACCAATGGCTTTACGAGACCAGTATGGATAGGTATCTGATGCCGCAGTGAAGTCTCCGAGACAGCGGCGTGTGCGGCGACGCAATAATTGAACAACTACATGTTTGTGTTCACCTGTGGAACACCTCTCGCTACCTGAAGGTCTCATTGAACACACACCTGTATGGCTGTGGGCACACCAGAAGCACAAGGAGAAGGAGAGAACAAGCGCGCACACACACACACACCTGAGAAAATATGAGAGCAGGGTTGGAGACGGCTGGGACGAGGTATCCTGAGACCCCTGTCAATGGACACTTGTGTCAATACCTAATTACCTTACAGATGACACCACCACCTCTCTCACACCTCACACACGAGGCAAGACACCAATATTACATGAAATTACCACCAGGTTAGCCACCATCACCACCGTCTCAGGGGATGCCAGAAAATGCAATATTTTTAATGCATGGCCACCTCACCTGTGTACTGTGGCCACCTGCCAGGTGACTGTGGCCCACCTGGCAGGTGACTGTGGCCCACCTGGCAGCTGACTGTGGCCCACCTGCCGGGTGACTGTGACTGTGGCCCACCTGCCAGGTGACTGTGGCCCACCTGGCAGGTGACTGTGGCCCACCTGGCAGCTGACTGTGGCCCACCTGGCAGCTGACTGTGGCCCACCTGGCAGGTGACTGTGGCCCGCTTACCATCGTCCTCTGGATGAAAAACACCACCAGGGAAGAACGTGACATACAGACGATAACACCCACGAAACATGGGGGAAAATGGGTGAAGACAGGTAACGCCTGGAGAGGCCTACCCTGGCCAAGGAAGCCAAGACGAGGGCAGACCCAAGACCAAGACGGAGCTCCAGCAGGCGGAGACGACAGGTGTGGACGGGGGACACAGGTGTACGAGGCCAGGCAGGTTCTCACGAAGGCATTTCCGAGTGGCGGGTAATGAACAGCTGGATCTCTACACTGTGGGAACCGTCTCCTGCTGGCGGGGGCCGAGCTTCGGCTCTTTGGTCCCGCCTCTCAACTCTCAATCAACTGGTGTACAGGTTCCTGAGCCTATTGGGCTCTATCATATCTACACTTGAAACTGTGTATGGAGTCAGCCTCCACCACATCACTTCCTAGTGCATTCCATTTGTCAACCACTCTGACACTAAAAAAAGTTCTTTCCAATATCTCTGTGGCTCATTTGGGCACTCAGTTTCCACCTGTGTCCCCTTGTGCGTGTGCCCCTTGTGTTAAATAGCCTGTCTTTATCTACCCTGTCGATTCCCTTGAGAATCTTGAATGTGGTGATCATGTCCCCCTAACTCTTCTGTCTTTTGTGTATGTGTGTGTGTGTGTGTGTGTGTGTGTGTGTGTGTGTGTGTGTGTGTGTGTGTGTGTGTGTGTGTGTGTGTGTGTGTGTGTGTGTACGTGCACGCGCCTACCTGCCTGAAAAATTATGTCACTAGCTCTACCATATTGTTACTTTCTTGAATGAACTGTGAGATTCCGTTCCTGAACCCATTATGTTTTTTTCCCTTTTCACTTAACCCCTTTCCGTCACCGCCCACGGGATGGGTATGGGGTGCATAATAAGTAAACAAAAAAGACCACACACACACAGAGTTTGTTTATACATAAACCAACATTGCCACACCCTAATTTATAACTTTAAATCTGTTTACTGCAGCTTAATGTATTCCAAATCAAACCCGGCCCAGAATATCTGTTTGGAATCAGACCCAAACACTCCACCCACAATGACTCTTTTGTTCCACAAGAGGAACTGAGAAGGTGTAGAGTCAGTACAGTGTGTGTAAACAGGTTAGTAGGTTCGTTATAGTGATGATAGGTACTGAGAGAGGTCTCCAAGCCAGCCCTCTATGATAGGTACTGAGGGAGGTCTCCAAGCCAACCCTCCATGATAGGTACTGAGGAAGGTCTCCAAGCCAACCCTCCATGATAGGTACTGAGAGAGGTCTCCAAGCCAACCCTCCATGATAGGTACTGAGGAAGGTCTCCAAGCCAACCCTCCATGATAGGTACTGAGAGAGGTCTCCAAGCCAACCCTCCATGATAGGTACTGAGGAAGGTCTCCAAGCCAACCCTCCATGATAGGTACTGAGGAAGGTCTCCAAGCCAACCCTCCATGATAGGTACTGAGAGAGGTCTCCAAGCCAACCCTCCATGATAGGTACTGAGAGAGGTCTCCAAGCCAACCCTCCATGATAGGTACTGAGAGAGGTCTCCAAGCCAACCCTCCATGATAGGTACTGAGGAAGGTCTCCAAGCCAACCCTCCATGATAGGTACTGAGGAAGGTCTCCAAGCCAACCCTCCATGATAGGTACCATGGTTACTCTGACAAGAGACCATGTGGCCAGCGTAGCAACAGAGATTATACCAATTTGGTACCTGTAATCATATGCACCGATGGTACCCGAATCCTGGTACTGGTGAGGGGGGGGGGACGAGGAGAGCTCTGGTGAGGGGGGAAGGGGAGCTGGAGCTCACCAACACAGTCTGATGGATCACCTGTCACGAGAGCCGAGCTCTTTAGAGCCGAGCTCTTTAGAGCTGAGCATACCACTCAAAAGAGAATCCGGGAAGATCAGAGTAACCCGAATATTACTGTAGTATGCACGGTGCATACACCAACAGTCGTCTAAACCCAGAAATATATCACACATGCGGACGAAAATAAAAATAGATATCTGTCGCTAAAGACAATTGTCTAAGATTATTATAATTTTGTCTTAAAGAGTCCACGTATATGTATAATGTATACACAGACGTCCAACATGCATATGTATATTATGATGACAGGTGTGGTGATGATACAGATGTAATGACACAGGTATTATGATGATACAGGTGTAATGACACAGGTATGATGATGATACAGGTGTAATGACACAGGTATGATGATGATACAGGTGTAATGACACAGGTGTGACTGAAACACCTGCACGGTCTCCCCCCCCCCCCCCATACAACAGGTGTGTGGCACTCACCTGTACAGCACTGTTGAGGAAGCAGTTGTTCTGCCCCGGGGCGTTCAGGAGTCCCTTGGCCCCGGCCAGGGAGTCCCTGGGGGAGGCCAGGTCAAGGGCCACCTGGTCCCGTGACCCGGGGTCATCCTGGGGGCCACCCCGAGGACTCGTGACCTCGTGGCGGGAGTGTCGCAGCGTGTGGGTCAAGAGAGCGTCGGCGCCGCGAGACACATCGAGTGACATGTCCCCCTTCTGGTCCCACGTTGGTCCCAGGTGGTCCCAGGACGCCCGGAGGTACGGCAGGGGCGTCCTAGGGACATCCAACTGGTCCCAGGACCCTCCCAAGTGGTCCCGATGGACGGTGAAGCCTCCGGTGTGGCGGGACAAGTTGAGAGGTGGACCGAGGGACAGGTCACGCAGGGAGGCGCCGTAGTCTCGCGGTAAGGACTTGGCCATGTCACAGTGGTCCAGGTGGTGGCCGGCGGGGACGGGCCTCGGGGGCGTGACTGTGGCCATGGTGGGCGTGTGGGCGTGTGTGGGCGGGTCACACACACACACACAAGAGACCACCGCTCACTAACGCGGGGTCATCACCGCGTCATACTCAACACATCACCTGCAAATCATCAAAATCGTTAAACAGTCGCCAATACATTAACCACATAGGCCTACATAGGCCTGTATCGCCCTACACATAGGGGGCAACATAGCAATACTGACTACACACTATGTGGCCACCTCCCGCCACCCCAGCCAGCCCCACTATGTGGCCACCTCCCACCACCACCCCACTATGTGGCCACCTCCCACCACCACCCCACTATGTGGCCACCTCCCGCCACAATATGTGGCCCAGGTACTGACCATGTGGCATGGTCACATAATATTATGTGTTAATACTCGGCTCTAATAACCTTATACAAATGCAAATTATAGACAGATATTCTAATGAGGGGTTAACTGCCTCCTTCAAGCCACCTCCTTATCTCCTACTGCCAAGACTGCAAGAAAAATGGTCAAGGTGAAAAATAAAAAATCGTGTTTCACGTTCAGAGCTGTTCCACGGGCCTCACAGACTCGTTCAGAGATGTTCAGAGATGTTCAGAGATGTTCAGAAATGTTCACATGTTCACCCGAGAGCTGGGGCCAGATTCACGAAGCAGTTACGCAAATACTTACGAACGTGAACATCTTTCCTCAATCTTTGACGGCTTTGGTTACATTTATTAAACAGTTTACAAGCATGAAAACTTGCCAATCAACTGTTGTTATTGTTATAAACAGCCTCCTGGTGCTTCGGAGCTCATTAACTGTTTAATAATTGTAAACAAAGCCGCCAAAGATTGAGAAAAGATGTACAGGTTCGTAAGTGCTTGCATAAGTGCTTTCGTGAATCTGACCCCAGGTTTGTCAAGTTCAGAGGTCCTTATATCTGGGAGTTTTTTGTCTATTGATCCTCAAATGTGAACCTTTATGAGTCAGGTGTATCTCATGCAGAGACACATTCATACATGACACAGTATATTTCCCAGATAGACTCTCACACACACATGACTGAACAGGTGTATTTGGTCGAGAAATCCTTATACATGAAAGCTGGGTGTATGTTTTATCCAAGGTTCTCATATGTGACCTTGGGATACAGGCATGTCTGGCATCCAAGAGTCGGGTGTGTCAGGTCGAGAGGTCGTCACACATGAGACAGAGTCGGGTGTGGAGTTCCAACACACACACACAAGGAGGCCTGGTCGAGGACCGGGCCGCGGGGACGCTAAGCCCCGAAATCATCGCAAGGTAACCACACACACAAACACACACACTGGTGTGTGGGGGTGTGGTAGCTGAGTGAACAGCGTGCGGGGCTCGTAATCCTGTGGCCCGGGTTCGATTCCCGAACTAGGCAGAAACAAATGGGCAGAGTTTCTTTCCCCCTGATGCCCCTGTTACCTAGCAGTAAATAGGTACCCGGAAAGTTAGACATCTGCTATGGACTGCTTCCTGGGAATGTGTGTGTGTGTGTGTGTGTGTGTGTGTGTGTGTGTGTGTGTGTGTGTGTGTGTGTGTGTGTGTGTGTGTGTGTTAGAGAGAAACATATGTAGTAGACATAATAGAAGTTTCAGGTTAGGTAAAACTTTTATTTTGTACGGAGGCGAATGGATAGACTGGGATGGTTTACTAGCCATAAAGGTATGGTGCTGGTCCGGATGGCTATCTTGAGGTTATCTTGAGATGATTTCGGGGCTTTAGTGTCCCCGCGGCCCGGTCCTCGACCATGCCTCCACCCCCAGGAAGCAGCCCGTGATAGCTGACTAACACCCAGGTACCTATTTTACTGCTAGGTAACAGGGGCATAGGGTGAAAGAAACTCTGCCCATTGTTTCTCGCCGGCGCCTGGGATCGAACCCAGGACCACAGGATCACAAGTCCAGCGTGCTGTCCGCTCGGCCGACCGGCTCCGGTTGGTCTGTGGCGCTGGTCCGAATGGTCGGTCTGTGGCACTGGTCCGGATGGTCGGTCTGTGGCGCTGGTCCGGATGGTCGGTCTGTGGCGCTGGTCCGAATGGTCGGTCTGTGGAACTGGTACGGACGGTCGGTCTGTGGCGCTGGTCCGGATGGTCGGTCATGGTCCACAACTCACCAGCCAAGTCAAGGCTGGTGAGGATTCGAAGGAGGGTGAAACTGGCGTCAACAAGCTGGTCTGGTAATTAAGCTGAGATATATAGCGGTCACAGGGAACTACTTCATCTCCAACTCTAGACAGCGGCTGGTCAGGATGGGCCGCCACGCGTGTAGAAGTTTCTGAGAGTGCCACAGCTGAGGGTGCCAGAGTTTGAGTGCCATATGGTGTGGAAGGTAGGCACACTCTACATTATTAAAACAGTTAACACTGAAAAGCATCACTGAGAGTACTCAGAGTATGGGTAACGATGTGTATCAGTGCTATACCGACGGCTCTGTAGAAGAAGGTGGACGATGTACCGGATGTGCAGGTAACATATTTGAACAATCTTCTCTCGTACATACAGCAATGAAGCGCGTCAATGACTGGGCAAGTACAACTCAAACCGAACTTGCAGGTATATACCTTGCCACTGAATTTTTAAAAGACAAAGGCAGTGGACTTATATACTGTGACTCGCAGAGTGCACTCCTGGCAGTGAACGCACATAGTAGTGACACCCAGAAAATAGTCAGTGATATTCGGAATGAATGTTTTAGCTGCTAAAGAAAAGAGATTTTAAATTAAATTCCTATGGATACCATCACATGTTGGCATCTCAAGGCATGACACTGTTGATATGCTTGCAAAGACAGCCTGCAGAAAACCAGTAATAGAAATTGATATGGGTGTTTCATTAGCAGTGACAAAGAGAATACTTAAACAAATATCTTATGAAAATCTCACCGACCTAACAAATTCTCAAAGACCTCAAAGTTGTAGCATTAAATATTATGATAGATATCGTGAGGAGACATTCACATATGGGACTAATAGAACAAGAACCCGGCAATGTGATGTTATAGTGGCCAGAATACGCCTGGGATATAGACGTATCTGGCAGCTTTCTCAAAACCCAAATGTCGAGTACACAATGTGTCAACTTTGTGAAAGTGTCCAGTACACCAGGTGTGTCAACTTTGTGAAAGTGTCCAGTACACCAGGTGTGTCAACTTTGTGAAAGTGTCCAGTACACCAGGTGTGTCAACTTTGTGAAAGAGAAAACATGCACTCTCTTGAACATTATATTGTAGAATGTCCCATACTGACTGACTTTCGCCCTCCTGGGCTAAGGTATGCTGAACTGTGTAACTACTATATGAGTACTGGAACACTTGATGATATATTGGACTTGTACCCAAGATTGACCATGTAATGTACCAATTATACAATGTATGTATGTGATGTAACTATATAACCTGAGCTTGTAAAAGCACCTTCATCACCTTCAGTGATTAAGTGCTTAATTGCACACTAGTTTCTCTATCAGTTATCTCACCCTGTCAGAGTAAGAGAGGCAAATGTATGTACTCCCCTAATTGTGCTTGCGGGGGTTGAGCTCTGGCTCTTTGGTCCCGCCTCTCAACCGTCAATCAACAGGTGTACAGGTTCCTGAGCCTATTGTGCTCTATCCTATCTACACTTGAAACTGTGTATGGAGTCAGCCTCCACCACATCACTGCCTAATGCATTCCATTTTTCAACCACTCTGACACTAAAAAAGTTCTAATATCTCTGTGGGTCATTTGGGCACTCGGTTCTCGTTTGAGCACCCGAAATCATCTCAAGATGACCCCATTCTTCATGTTAATTCTTCAAGATTTTATTCTGAAGTTATATTTGTGTTCTCCCTATACACCCTCTCCCTGAGAACCAGGGGCCAGATTCACGAAGCCGTTACGCAAGCACTTACGTAACTATACATCTTTTCTCAATCTTTGACGGCTTTGTTTACAATTATTAAACAGTTAATGAGCTCCGAAGCATCAGGAGGCTGTTTATAACAATAACAACAGTTGATTGGCAAGTTTTCATGCTTGTAAACTGTTTAATAAATGTAACCAAAGCCGTCAAAGATGGAGGAAAGATGTACACGTTCGTAAGTGCTTGCGTAACTGCTTCGTGAATATGGCCCCATTTCTTTTGCTCGCAGCTCTCGTCTCCAAGTCCTTCCTGAACTCTCTTCAACTCATTTGTGTATCTAATTCCCATTGGACGCTAGTGAGGGTGGCAGGGCTGGGGTGAGGGTGGGGTAGGCAAGGTAAGGGTGGGGTAGGCAAGGTAAGGGTGGGGTAGGCAAGGTAAGGGTGGAGTAGGCAAGGTAAGGGTGGGGTAGGCAAAGTAAGAGCGTGTGGGTAGGGTGAGAATGGCTGGGCAGGGTAAGGGGTGGATAAGGCAGGGCAAGGAGTGGCTAAGGCAGGGTAAAGGGTGGATAAGGCAGGGTAAAGGGTGGATAAGGCAGGGTAAAGGGTGGATAAGGCAGGGCAAGGAGTGGATAAGGCAGGGCAAGGAGTGGATAAGGCAGGGCAAGGAGTGGATAAGGCAGGGCAAGGAGTGGATAAGGCAGGCTAAGGGGTGGACAAGGCAGCAAGAAGAGGTCCACAGGTGTGTGTGGGGATGTAAACACTATCAGATCTCCAGGTCATCAGCTAAGCAGGTGTGAGAGTGACCACAGTCGTACTCGCCTGAGTCCCACAACACCTGGGATACACACACCTGTGTCTGGGACACACCTGGGCACGGGCCCACGTGGGCACGGGGACCACAGGGCCCTTGACACACGTGGCGTTGACAGGTGGTGGTGTAGCTCTGCTGGTAAGAAAAGGCTGGGATTTTGAGGAGATGGTTATTCAGGGCTGTGAAGGTTTCAGTGACTACATAGCAGGTACCGTAACAACTTGAGGGCAAAAAATTATAGTCGTAGTCATATATAACCCACCACCAAATGACAGAAGATCCAGACAGGAATATGATAGAAACAACATGGCCACCATTAACATAATATAGAGAATAGCTTCTGTTGCTAGCAGGAATGGATCTGGACTACTAATTATGAAGACTTCAACCATGGGAAGATAGATTGGGAGAACAGAGACCCGCATGGAGGACCAGAAACAT